AGAGCGAAAGCACTCTGGTGGGGAATGGTCATACCATAATCCCTTGTCCTCTATCTCACCCTCCTTTTGGTGTTTTAGGCATGACCATGCCTGATGTGTTTTCCAAGCTGGATCTTGGGCTTTAATGGCATGTTTGGCTATGTGGGATCCAGCTGCCTTAATCACCAGGCCTTGGACATAATCCTCCATGAATTTTTTTGAAGTCCTTACATATGTGTGTATAACTGTGTATATGTAGTTGTATATGTGTATGTGTGTATACATACACACATATGTGACTGCGTGTGTATGTGAATAGGAAATTGTGTATGTATGTGTATGTTAGGCACGTATTAAGCACCTTTCTTGTCAGTACTTTTAGATCAGCTTATCAGAGATAGAGAGGTGGAGAGACAGAGAGAGAAAGAGAACCCCTCCACCCCATGGGGTATGGTTGGTGCAATTCCTTCTCCTCCATTTCTCCGTCATGTTGGAATTTGGGGCATGTATGTACACATACTCAGCCTGTGCCTCAAGCCCCTGTGCTGAGATTCCAACTACAGTTGGTCATGTGGGTTCCAGCTCTTTTAACCACTATGGGGCTGACATTCTTTCTCTCTATTCATCTGTCCCTGTCTGTGCATGTCTCTCTGCCCTCTTTTCATGCTATAAGGACAATAATCATTGGATTCAGGGCTTAGCCTAAATCTTAGGTTGGATTCATTTCAAGATCCTTCAATATCTACATCTGCAAAGACCCTGTTTCTAAATAAACAGAGTTTGAGTTTCCGTGTGTATATTATTTTGGGGGAACACTATTCAAACCACTGTAATTTTCCCTCTCACAGAATTGCTCTACTTGTATATTCAGGGGGTTCATGCCTTTGTCTGACTGTGCTGGTGTGACTCTCAGGGCCAGGGGAACACAGGTGACATGGAAACTGTCTAACGCCCGTCTCCTAAGCACTGGCATGGCTGCATTTCACGAGGAGGAAAAGTCATCTTCCACTTGTGCTTCATGTTGCTATTCTGTGCACAACACTGGAGCCCACCAAGTGCATCTCAGGGGGGCTTTTGGCATTTTCTGAAGAAGAAGAAGAAAAAGAAATAAATCGTTTGGTTTCACGCAGCAGTGATTGTGTTTGCAAAAATATCTCTCCCATTAGACAATTCCAATTTAAAATACAGATTAGCTCTGACAAAACTGACCCAGGTTGTTTTTCCCTTTGATGGTTTCAATTTCATGTTTATCCATCATAAAGGATTGTAATACAACAGGATTTTGACAGAACAGGGGTAGGAGTTTTGAATTCTTACCTGCAATTTCTAGCTCTAGGGGATAATGACAGAGAGAAAAACAACAATAACTTAGTTGTAGGATATGAAAACATACTGAATTTCCCTCCTGGATTTTTATGTTCCTGGGCATGCAACAAGTCACTTTCCCTGATGAACAAATAAGCTCTCTGGTACCAAGTTATGAACCTTATAAAACCGATCGCGTTTCTCCTTTTGCTTTAAATACAGGGAAGCTCATGAGGAAAATTAAGTGATCAACCCTGATTATTATTAGCCTAGATGTTTACTATTTTTTCGGGTCTTCTCTGCGTGTTAGTTTTATATTCTGCTTCTATTTTAAAGTTTTAGTTTATGTATGATTTTATACCATTCCTGGGTGTTTTTTCTCTTGTTTCAGATATTACTCTTACTTTCTGATCTCTCTGACCACTTTTTTTCCCCTTCCTTCATCTCCTTGGCCATCTTTTATAGCCTTGTTTAAAAATTTGTGATAGAGTGTCTGTCAAGTGATATGGTGGTTAAGGTGCTGGAATCCCACACAGCTGACTGTGGGTTGAGTCCAAGATCTGGTGGCTTGCTTTTTCATTCTTTCTGTCTGTCTGTCTCTGTCAAATTAAAATAAATAAATAAATAAATAAATAAATAAATAAAATTCATGATAGGACATGTGTACCTATAAAAGGCAGGGGATAGTGGTGACATCCTCAGTAGAGTCTTGATCCCTTCTCCCAGTCTCCAGCAAATCAGGATCTTGGGCACACGCACGTGACCCTGACATGTTTCAGGTGGGCTGAGCAAGCAGGAGATCTGAACTGTGGTGAACCATGTGGCTTCCAGCAAGGCAGTTTGGAACCCACTGCACTATAGGGGCTGGAGCTATCCACGTTTTATTTGAAGTTTTCTGGGGTTCCTACTGTTCTCTCTGGTTATAAAACCCTTGGAGTCCTTATCCACTCTGAGGATTTTAACTGCTCCCTGGGTCCTGATGATGCACACATCAGTATCTCCAATGGTGACCCTTTTCTAGGTTTGACTCAGATTCAAATATATCAATTGGATCTTAGTTGAGTAATGTTGTATGTATCCCCATGGGTGTCTTAAACTCAATGACTCTAAATGCATGCTCACAGACGACATGGAGACTGGTAGTCCTGACTTTTCTAATCTGTGTCTCCTTCCCTCTGGGATGGCTACCTTCTACCTTTCTCCTCCTGACTTATAGTTCTGATCTCTCTTTTCTGTTCCCAATCCTAGCTGACAGTTCAGACGATGACCTTCTATCTCAAGTAGGAATTTGTGAGTTAAATAAACTCTTACCTCTTTTTCACCCCCATATTCAATGTCTATATTCTGTTGATTTCCTGTCTAAGCAGTTTTAAAATCTGCCTCTTTCCCTTCATTTCTTCT